ATTCCAGGCAGAGATGCTACATGGCAGAGAACCACGAAGTCCCGTGTGCAAGGCACATGTAAGCAAGGTCTAGAAGGATCAGTGTGCCTAGCTCAGTGGTCGGCAAACTCATTAGTCAACAGAGCCAAATATCAACAGTACAACGACTGAAATTTCTTTTGAGAGCCAAATTTTTTAAACTTAAACTATATAGGTAGGTACATTGTTATTAACTTAATTAGGGTACTCCTAAGGCTTAGGAAGACCCACACTCAAGGGGCCAAGGAGCCGCATGTGGCTCGCGAGCTGTAGTTTGCCAACCACGGGCCTAGCTGATAAGCACAGAGGGGAGGCTAGCAAGAAATGAGGATGAAAAAGTAGGCTTGAAAAAGAGTTGGCCACTTTGAACTTTATTCTCTTAGCCTGTTCCTCCTAACTTTTGTATACTGTATGAATCTCATGAAACTATGAATCATCTCTCCGTAAAGAAAGCAAACCCATAATGTTTTTAATAGGATTTCATGCCCACATAGAATCTCTATGGGTCCATTGACCCCAGGATAATAACTATTGTTCTGGACCAGGGGTCAACATCCCAAAGCCACAGTTGTAAAGGGAGTGTTATTGGATTTCAGCCATGCTCATTTGTGTATATTCTTACTACAGTGGCAGAATTGAATAGTTGCAATAAAGATCATATCACTCTTAAAGCCTAAAACTATTTAAGAAAATGTTTGCCAACCCCTGCTCTAGACAATCTCAAAGGTAATCAGAGACCCTTAATGTTTCACCAGTTAAAGATGACTTAAAAGCTTGCTTGATATATTGCCAAAAAAAAAAAAATGGGAGCACAATGCTTATCAAATTAGTCTTTTACACATTTGCACCCAAATTTGGACTAGAGCTGAGGTATCAGAAGACAGGTAGGTTTTGAAGGACTGGGTAATTAAGAAAATCTGAGAGTGATAAATGCTGCAATGGTCGCCATGCAGGAAAATTGGAGTGGCAAGAGGCACTGGTGATCCATAGCAATGGAAATGCTTAAAAGCAGGAAAAAAAGTATTAAAGATAAATTACACTTCTTTTCTGTTTTGACTAAGGCCCAGCACTATCTATATTTAGCCAAAGACCTACAGAAAGTATTTTTGGAGTTGGAATAATAAATTTGAAAAGATTGCTCTCATTTTGCAGACAAGGAAACAGAGTCCCAAGGTCTTAACTGAATTCACATATCACACAACTAGCAGAATCAATTAAAACTAGAGGGTTCATACCCCTCAATGATTCTTAATCTTAACTCTAGCTAATACATATCAGCAATTTTTCTATATGGGAGAATTTTAGCACTGGTAATTCTAGGACTATAAACCTTAACTGTACATTTTATTTATTATGATTTATGTTTATAAATTTCTTTTTTTTTCTAGAGTATGCAGATTTTACGACTTCATCTTACATGTATCAGGTTTTGGTTTTTTATTTTTTATTCACTCGTTTCATTTATTTAAGCTTTCATGGCATCTTAGTTATTTTGTTTTGTATTGTTACGCATAGTTTCACTGTGTGTCCATCACGTATTTTTGTAAACATGTTTATCACAGGCGTCTTGTTTTGTCTTGCTTAGCATACTGCTGAGCATATAGTAGGCATTCAATTAACATATGTTGATTGCTTTGATTTGATGTCTTAAACATTTAAGGGTGGCTTTTCTAATTTCTCTAATTCTGCATTTTGTTTGATTAATGTTGCCCGTTTAACAGTTTTATGAATCCTAATCATTCTTTCCTTTCTTTGAATACCAGGTGGTCGTGAATGCGCTTATAGGTGCAATCCCTTCCATCATGAATGTGCTACTTGTGTGTCTGATATTCTGGCTGATATTTAGCATCATGGGAGTAAACTTGTTTGCGGGCAAGTTTTATGAGTGTGTCAACACCACAGATGGGTTACGGTTTCCTGCAAGCAAAGTCCAAAATAAGTCCGAGTGTTTTGCACTGATGAATGTTAGTCAAAATGTGCGATGGAAAAACCTGAAGGTGAACTTTGATAACGTTGGACTTGGTTACCTGTCTTTGCTTCAAGTTGTAAGTGACCCCTTTCATGAATGCTTGATATTGTAAGGGACCCTGACAGACATTACTATTTTAAATAATCTGCTAACTAGAAGTTAAAGAGAAAGTACTTTGTGACTTTAAAAAGAGACTTGGTGTCAACTAGAACAATTGCCTATAAAAATGAGTAAAAATCGTAAGTTCTTTTGTACTTGAGAATTATTGTTCCATAATTGACTTGTTGGTGTCATTTGGCCCCTCGCCATTGCACCATCTGAGTATTGCTTCAAAATGAACAGTCATTTTTCTGAACTGACAGTTTTGCACTACATGGGAATGAGAAAGACTTCTCATTAGCACAGAGCATCTTTAAGAAATGGAGATAAATTGTTTCCTGCCTTTTTTATAAAATTCTCCCCTACCTCTAGAAAAATAAAAATCATGTGAAAAATTTTCAGGAATTGTAATAGCCTGGAAATAACTGAGTAGGACTAAGATTTAGAACATGACCCCAGAATGTGTCCCTTTTTTTCTTGACATAGTACCTTTATATTAAATTGGTATCTTGAAATACAACAAAACTTAGTGATTTGATATTACTTAATGCATGTAACATTAAATGGACTAAACTCATGTGTTGCTGCTTTAAAGTATGAGCTTCAAATTCAGATTCTATAAATGTTTTATTTGCAGGCAACATTTAAAGGATGGATGGATATTATGTATGCAGCTGTTGATTCTGTTAATGTAAGTATTGGTCAACATTAAACTAAAATCTACAATTTTAAAAAGCTCCTTAGTTTAGTTTAGCCATTTTCAAACAGTAGCAACAAGGAGTCCTTGGTATATACACACAAACTGAAAAACTTCCACCTAACAGTAACCTAGTGACTAGGTATGCAGCATTTGGAGACAGACCTTGACTCCAACTCTGGCTTTATCATATCATGCAAGCTGTGCAACTGAATCTGAACAAATTTCCTCTCTGAGTGTGTTTATTGATTATATACAGAAAAATAATTCAGTGCCTACTTCATGGGGATCCAACGTGAAAATGCAAGTAGAGCACTTAGCACAGCCTGGAAATAATAAGTGCTCAGTAAATAAAATTTATCAAAATAAAAATGAAATAACATATTTTATGAATAGTTTTTATTTTTGTATTTTTAAAATTTTTAAATTTATTTCAGAGAGAGGAAGGAGAAGGGGAGAGAGATAGAAACATCAATGATGACAGAGATCATCATTGCATCCTTTCTCCTGCATGTCCCCTACTGGGGATCAAGCTGCAAACCAGGCATGTGCCTGACCAGAATCAAATGGTGCCAACCATTGAGCAACACCAGCCAGGACAATTTTATATTTTAAAGTGCCATGGAAGCATTTTCAGTGGTTCTCAACCTTCTGGCCCTTTAAATACAGTTCCTCTTGCTGTGACCCAACCATAAAATTATTTTTGTTGCTACTTCATAACTGAATGTTGCTACTGTTATGAATCATAATATAAATATCTGATATGCAGGATGGTCTTAGGCTATCCCTGTGAAAGGGTCGTTCACCTGCCAAAGGGGTCGCAACCCACACGTTGAGAACCGCTAGTTTATATGAAATAATTTTCACACTAAGAAAGCTAAATCCAGTGAAGACATTTCTGTAATTAAATGAAAACAAAAATAATACAAAATTTATGTAAATATGCTATCATCTCTTCTACATTTTTTTTCTGGAAATAAAAAGACATACTTTAGGTCATTTTGTTACTAAATTGTCCTACCAATGTGAGAACAAGTACTCTATATGATTAAGCCCTTTGTAATTATTTGAAGGTTATATTCATGTATTTAGTGAGCATGTAATAAATACTTAATGTTGGAAAATTTTTTAAGAATGATTTTGTTGAACCTCACTAATATTATGGCTTCTGAAAAAGCTAATTCACTAGAATAGCATTGTTTGGATTACCTTATGAAACCATGTGAAAAAGGAAAGTGATGAATGTATTGTCAACATACTAACTGTTGTTAATTACTTCTAATTTTGTAGGTTGACAAGCAACCCATATATGAATCCAACCTCTACATGTATATTTATTTTGTCATCTTTATCATCTTTGGGTCATTCTTCACTTTGAACTTGTTCATTGGTGTCATCATAGATAATTTCAACCAACAGAAAAAAAAGATAAGTATTTTAAGTTTCTTTCATTGCACTGAAAAATAGGAACAATTATTTTTCCAAAAAATATAGTGTGAAATTTAGTTTTATATCAATTAGTAATTATCTTCATTAGAACTTCATTTATTTTTTAAAACAATTGGCCAGTGTATAGTTATAGACATATTTAATCTCATTTATCTCTGCACAGAAACTAATCTTCTAAGTCAGAACTATTTTTAAACAGTATGACAACTATTCTGTTTTATTAATGTTCTCTGTAGAGGATTGGATAATTAAGAAACAGTAATGCACTAATTTTTTATTGAAAACACATTTCACAAATGTTACTTTCTTCGGTTCTGAGCCACTGTTCTGTGTGGTATGCCTAGGGCTGGTGCTTGAGGAAAAACAACATAGGATATGCTCCTGAGTTCAAGATTATATTATAGCAGAATATGTGACACATGTATTAGAAATGAAGATGTATTGAATATTGCTAGTGAGGCATCCCGGGAGATTTCTGTTTTAACTATTGGAACATTTTATAATCTCCCCTTAGTTGTCTCCCATCCTTCCTTATGTTGCCAACTAGGGTATGAATCATCAAAAAAAGATAAAATATGTACTTTGACTTTTTCTTCTAAGTCAGAATTCTCTTCTCAGTGTTTTCATAGCTTTTCTTGGTAAATTCTTGATATACTATGGTAATCAGCCCCCATCAGTATGCAATAAAGGATCAAGGCTTCTCTTGACATTGGTATGAAGGCTCTCTCTCATGCCTACTGTCAATAGATCAGATGAATACTAAAATTACATAAAGACTGCATATCAGCTAGAGGGGAAAGGTGAATTAGAACACTCTAAGACAGAGAGGGGAGTCTGGTTATTATATAGGCATTTGATAAATCTTTTAAGATACACTATAATAGAAAGCTGAATATTCCCTAACCCCCAAAAACTAAAGAGAAACCATAACCAGATCATCTTTAACTTCAGGATCCTACAAGTTAAGTAAGGATTTCAGAACTAAATAATTATTACATGTAATACATATACTTTATATATGCACATTATATTAAGTGTGGAGAGTCATGTGCCTACACATAGGTAATCCTTTAAGACAGGTTTTATGCATAGCTACATCGCACATAATAAAATGCATTTCATTTCTATATTAATACATTTTCAACCTGTCTTAATAATCTGAGGAAAAATTTAGACAATGATTCTGGTTTTAACTAGATTTCTTTCTTTTTTTTTTTTTTTACCTTGGAGGTCAAGACATCTTTATGACAGAAGAACAGAAGAAATACTATAATGCAATGAAAAAGTTGGGATCTAAGAAACCACAAAAGCCAATACCTCGACCAGGGGTAAAAAAAGACAATATATATATCTTTAGCATGTAAATTTTCAAATTATTTTCAATTCAACTTTAATATACAACTTTGTCTTAAGCATAAATGTTTAGCGTTAATTTTGAAAAAAATTGGAACAAAATTGCTATTTGGAAAAGAAGTCCTTATAAAATTTAATATATGTATTTTAAGCACTGTATCGTTTTTTGAGTGCTTAACAAATTTATTATTATTATTATGTTAGCCAGCTCCACATCTCCCAGTCCATATTTTAGTTTCCAAATAGCAGTAATAATTCTGTAGCTCATACTATGAGCTAGGCACTGTTCTAAGAACTCTACATATTTTAACTCATTTAATTCTTATAATAACTCTTATGAGGTAGAAATTATTATTATCTCATTTTATGGAGTCTGAAACAGGCTCAGAGGAGGCCAAACAATTAGGGAGGGCTAGAGTTTGAGAACTGAACCTAGCCAGTCAGTTTCTAGAGGCTGAGCTGAGATGTGAGAGGGTTAAGCACTGTATCTTAATATTCCTTCTTATTTTTTAATTTTTCTATAAAAATGGAAAATAATTACATGTGCATTTACTTTTATCATAGCTACACAACTTATTCCTGCACTTGCCTGTAGAATATGAAAATGAATGTACTTTAGATTGAACATAGCATACTAGGGTGGATACACTTAACAGTCAATGTAAGTATACAAGGCTAACTGAATTACTAGTCTGATATATGAAAGACAACAACAAAATGTTTCATTGACTCTGACTTTGATTTAACCCATTAATAATATTTCTTGTAGAAAGGACAAACCTATGACCAGGGATAATTTATGCAAGTTTTGAAGACTGATATATATATTTGTAAATGTTTTACTAATGTAATGATTAGTGGATATTACTTGCTAAGTTTACTCTATATTCCATTTTATTCTTGTTTATTTGCAGAACAAATTCCAAGGATGTATATTTGACCTAGTAACAAACCAAGCTTTTGATATCAGCATTATGGTTCTTATCTGCCTCAACATGGTAACCATGATGGTAGAAAAAGAGGGACAAAGCCCATACATGACTAATGTCCTCTATTGGATAAATGTGGTTTTCATTATCCTCTTTACTGGAGAATGTGTGCTGAAACTGGTCTCCCTCAGACACTACTACTTCACCGTAGGATGGAACATTTTTGATTTTGTGATTGTGATTATCTCCATTGTAGGTAAGTCCATTTATTAACCAGATTTTTATATTGAATGAAACTAAACTCACACATGCTCAGAGCAGGTCCTGAATTCTTGAATATAAATTTACTTTTGAGTAAGTTAAATGAAAGAATGAAGGAATCTTTTTAAAAAAACACTTTACAAAGCAACGCCTTCGTGTCAGAATTTCTGAGTTCTCACTGCAGGCCTCAAAGCCTCAAGTTTTCTATTTGTCAGGAGCACATAATACCACTTGATCCAGTATTTGATTTCCAAGATTACCCTTCACAATGGTAGCAATTGCTTCTATATATAGGTATATCTGAGAAGACCAATACAGAGTCTGAAATCATTTCCAGTTTTAGCATATATGAGAGCTGCCCTCGATGAATGATAATGTTAATAGCCAGATTATTGGTGACTCTTCATGAAAATTCTTCCTGAAGTCAAAGTAAAGTTAAGGTCTCAAGAAATATCATCTTCATTTCTTATGGCTTTATACTTGGCAAGTCTACAAAACATGATCATTTCTCAGCCAACCCCAGTCATGTCTATGAATGTCAGTACATGATTTTATACTTCCTTTCCTTTTCATTATCATCACTATTTTTTAAAAAAATATATTTTATTGATTTTTTTACAGAGAGGAAGGAAGAGAGAGTTAGAAACATCGATGAGAGAGAAACATCGATCAGCTGCCTCCTGCACATCTCCCACAGGAGATGTACCCGCAAGCCAGGTACATGCCCTTGACCGGAATCGAACTCGGGACACTTCAGTCCACAAGCCGACACTCTATCCACTGAGCCAAACCGGTTTTGGCATCATCACTATTTTTATATTCTTCTGCTCATTCATTACCTGTACATGCCCTGCCCAGTATTGTAGGATTGCATTTATTTTTGAATTATAAATTCTAGGAACGGATTGAGGATATCATAAATTGGAAACAACATAAAATTCTTCACTATGTGGTTATTTTGACAAAGCATTTTACAACTATAACAAATTACTTAAGAGAAGCATCGAACAGACTGTCAAACCTGAGGGAAGGCAGAGGGGGTGGGGTGGTAAGAGATCAACCAAAGGACTTATATGATGCATATAAGCATAACCAATAGTCATGGAGACTGGGGAGGTGGGGGCATGTCCTGGGGGTAGGAGTGGCCGGGGAGTGGTCGATGGAAGTAAAAAGAGACATATGTAATACTTTAAACAATAAGAAAAAGAAATTACTTCTTTGTCATATGTATGGAAATATTTTCATGACATGAAGTGACTAAAATAGATTACCAAAAAAATGCTTATGTGAAACATGATTACATTCATGTGTGTATGTATGTGTGTGTGCTCACATAGAAAACTGTAGAGTGATACTCGACAAAATATTAACAATAGTTATGGTTGGCGATGTTTCAGGTGATTTACATTTCCTTTTTAGCATTTACTGTATTGCTTGAATTTTCTACATAGCAGGCATTATTCTTATAATTAAGAAAATTATTATGGAGGGAAAATTTCAATGCCCATAAACCTAGTGAAGGAGGGAAAATGTTCCTGTAGTAAGTCGAATCATTTTTATATGGTATTGCTCAATATTCTAATTGCTATGAAATTTTTTTCAATAAAATGACAATCCTGAAATTGTAAGAGATACGCTAGCAGATAAAGCTATTTAGAGTCTAGATTTTCTATAGCATGGAAATATAAATATTTTCTTTTTATTTTTTCCCTCCTCATCAGGCATGTTTCTGGCTGACCTGATAGAAAAATATTTTGTGTCCCCTACCCTGTTCCGAGTGATCCGTCTTGCCAGGATTGGCCGAATCCTACGTCTGATCAAAGGGGCGAAGGGGATCCGCACGCTGCTCTTTGCTCTGATGATGTCCCTCCCTGCGTTGTTTAACATCGGCCTCCTGCTCTTCCTGGTCATGTTCATCTACGCCATCTTTGGAATGTCCAGCTTCGCCTATGTTAAAAAGGAAGCTGGAATTAATGACATGTTCAACTTTGAAACCTTTGGCAACAGCATGATCTGCCTGTTCCAGATTACCACCTCTGCTGGCTGGGACGGGTTGCTAGCACCTATTCTTAATAGTGGACCCCCAGACTGTGACCCTAAAAAAGTTCATCCAGGAAGTTCAGTTGAAGGAGACTGTGGCAGCCCATCTGTCGGGATATTCTATTTTGTTAGCTACATCATCATATCCTTTCTGGTTGTGGTGAACATGTACATCGCTGTCATCCTGGAGAACTTCAGTGTTGCCACTGAAGAAAGTGCAGAGCCCCTGAGTGAGGATGACTTTGAGATGTTCTACAAGGTTTGGGAGAAGTTTGACCCCGATGCTACCCAGTTTATAGAATATAGAAAACTCTCTGACTTTGCCGCTGCCCTTGATCCTCCTCTGCTCATAGCAAAACCAAACAACGTCCAGCTCATTGCCATGGATCTGCCCATGGTCAATGGTGACCGCATTCATTGTCTTGACATCTTATTTGCTTTTACAAAACGTGTTTTGGGTGAAGGTGGAGGGATGGACTCTCTTCGTTCACAGATGGAAGAAAGGTTCATGTCAGCAAATCCTTCTAAAGTGTCCTATGAACCCATCACAACTACACTAAAACGGAAACAAGAGGATGTGTCTGCTACTGTCATTCAGCGTGCTTACAGACGTCACCGCTTAAGGCAAAATGTCAAAAATATATCAAGTATATACATAAAAGATGGAGACAGAGATGAAGATTTGCCCCATAAAGAAGATACGGTTTTTGATAAAGTTAATGAGAACTCAAGTCCAGAAAAACCAGATGCAACCCCATCTACCGTCTCTCCACCTTCTTATGACAGTGTAACAAAACCAGACAAAGAGAAATATGAAAAAGACAAAACAGAAAAGGAAGATAAAGGAAAAGATGGCAAGGAAAGCAAAAAATAGCGCTTCACATTTAATACACTGTTTACAGCCTGTGAAGGTGACTTATTTGTGTCAATAAGACTCTTTTAAGGAGGTCTATGCCAAAACTTTTTACCAAAATATTCTCAAAGTCAGTGCAGTCACTAGCTCTGATTCCTTAAGATAGGTGGGCAGCATTAGCAAATGGCTATTTTTGCACTGGTAAATGATTCTGTAAGAATTGTAGGGTAACTCTATAGGGATTATTGATTACAGCAGGCAAAGGTAATTTAATTTTATTTGCTTTTAATAAATCACAAGACCATGTAGGAAATGTTCACACCTGTCTTGTCATCTTTTCACAAGATTGTAAACATTCATGTTTCCCACTCAAATACAAACACACACACACACACACACACACACATGCACATATCTATATTTGGACATCTACAAAAGTATTTTGTCTTGGCTTTGCCATGAAATACCCTGATAGAAGGAATGGACATTAGTAATGAGTGTTTAGTTAAAACATGTTGGTGTTAGGGAACAAAACACTTTTATCCATGTATAGAGGTCATTCTATATTTTGAGGTGCTTAAATTTATTCTATATTGCATCAGAACCAATTTATATGTACCTATAAAATGCTATGGAATTAAAAACATGTGTAGGCTATTCATTTCAACAAATACTTTTCATTTATCTTGACTCATGTAACAACCAGAATTAAGATTTACCTTTAGAATATTGTGCTTTATAGCCTGTCTTTTTTATATCCTTCTTAGTTCATACAACCAAAGAACATGAAAACTTATTCCAAGTACTACATATCACATCCCTCGAAAGAAAAAGATGAAGATAATTGAAAAAAGAGGCAATGGAAGAAAGCTTTCTTTACTATTACTTATATAATCTCACACTACACTATGCTGCCCAAAAATATCAATAATGACACAACTTTTCATATCTCTTGTCACATTTTTGTCTGCTGTCTCATGCACTATTGTTTAGTCATTCTTTAGCACTAAGCAAAATTGTTAATTCCCTTCAATGACATGCTTCCTGATATGCAGATCACTATTTAATACCATGGTACATGACTGGAGCACAGTATTTACTCCATCACCTCAATACCATCCTAAATGTGTGTGGCAAACTTTGAAGTCATAATATAAGACAAACTTTCAACCCAAAATTGTCTTTAGAATGAACAAAAAAAGCATTTGACTGGGATTCTTGCCAACTTGCTTTCTTGTCACTTAATTTACTTTCCTAATTTGTACAAGCAATCCTTTTAGATGGCTAATCTTTCATCTGAAAATGAGGAGGATGTCACTTTGCACTTAAAATTCCATGACTATGAGGTATATTATGCATCAATCAATAAAGTACCCTGAGTTTATAACTTACTGAGCACATAATTCATTTTACTTTAGCTGGTGTCTTCTTACCAAGGGTTATAAATCTAGCTTTTAAGAAATTCTTGTTAATAGTGGCTTGAAAACAATGGCCATGATGAAGTTTTTCATCATTTCATTTCAGGAATATGAGGTCTTTCTCCTACCGAGTTTTACAGTTTTAAAAATTGAGTTATGTAAGGAGAAAGTAGTTTTATTTAGATTTTGTGCGAGTTTCATTCTAGAAGATACCTCATGCTTTCTTAAATTAAAAGGGAACATGAATTATATTTCTGTAATCAGTACTTAAACATATATTTTGTTGTTATGGCTAGTTAAAAATAAAGGATTTTTAAACTTACCTATAGAGATGAAGAGGTATGGGTAGAGAATGAGAGACAGAAAGGAGAGACTAACAAACATAGATAGGGGAAAGTCAGATAGAAACAGACATTTCCACAGAACTTCCTATCTAGAAAAATTTTTAATTGTGATGTATTTTATAATGCCCATGATGGAGATTATCACATGTAGACATTTGTCATAAGGTACATATGAAATTAAATCTAGGGCCAAAGATTCTTTACATCTATGTTCAATCATTCATCTTTGATTATTTGAGCCACTTTTCAATTTAATATGAAAGATACCATGCAGTGTTTTCCTAGATTCTGTAGAGCATTGCATCACATACCTGCTAAGCCTATTAAAAATACATTTTGACAATTTAATTAGGGGACCATACAAAATACGTTATATTTGTAAGATTTGTAATACATTAAATTAATAAATTAATATCACCTTAAATTTGAAGTAAGTCTACCCTTATTATTTTAAACACATATAAATGTAACTGCATTTTGCATATTTATAGACTATAGTATGAAAAGATGTGTGGTGGGCAGGTTTATGTGGGATTTACTCTCAATGTTTTTACATGTCTTGATTTTTATGTAAAAGAAAAAATATTGGCAACTGATTCCTCAACACAGTTTCTTCTGAGCATTCCAAAAAATGATAAAGTTTCTCTTTCTCCTATTTGATGCTGAACTATAATTTTTAAAAAATATAAAATACTTGTTTTTTATACATATATATGTTTACCCAGAAATGCCTAGTTTTGCCTTTTTATCAATTAAGAACAATATTTGAAAGTAAGATATCATTCAGTACAGTGTAAACTTGAATAAAAAGTACACTTTTCATGTAGGTTACTGTTTGGCTCTGATTATGAAATATCACTCCCCCAAGGCATTGTCATACTAATATTAAAATTACACAATCACTGAACTCATTTCACCTAATGATGTAGAATGGCAGTTACACTGTAAAATTTAAGTGAGAATAAAATGGAAGCAAACATATTTGAATACAAATCTATACATATAAATTTGGATGAAAGTGGGAGAATCTCATTTTACCTTTTTGATTGTTACATCATTTACAAAAGACATAAGTGACTTGTGGGCTGATTCTTAAATGCTGGTTATTAAATCTCAACCCAAAATGTCCATCATGATTTTATAGAATTTTTAGTAGCTTTATTACAAAGAGTTAAAATAAAATGCTTTTGTAAATAAAGCAGTTCTAAATAGAAATTTTGGAAAATGTTAATGAAAGTACGTAATGAAACGAGGGCCAGCTAAGTTAGTATGGCCAAGTAATTGGCCTGGGTTTAGGGCCTATGTATAGAGGCCACCAATTTATTTAAATAGCTCTGGTTTATTATGTTATGTTTTTGAAGAAAACAAGAATTGCTTCACAAAAATAAATGAATAGCCATGAATATAATATGCTGTTTACATAGAAGTCTTTACAAATTTTATACATCTATGAATGCTCATATTTGAGTTTGAGTTTGTCATCAATTAAATTGTAGTTATATTTGAGACACACTGTAACAGAATCTATAAATAAAAGGCATCAGAAAAATAAAATGTTTGTATGTATTTTCTGTTTCTGTGAGAACAACCTTTAAGGAGATAAGTTCAGTGCATCTCTAAGTAAGTTGCAGCGATTGTTTTTTTAAAAAAAAATGAAAGAGGAACAGTTTCAAATGTCCTCTATAAGAAGTCTACCAGGATAAGAAGGATGGGGATAAAGAATATAGAACTCTACTCTAGCCATTTGGCTCAGTGGATAGAGCTTCAATCTGTGGACTGAAAGGTCCAGTGTTTGATTCCAGTCAAGGGCATGTACCTCTGTTGCAGGCTGGGTCCCAGGCCCTTGTCAGAGTGTGTGCAAGTGGCAACCAATCGATGTGTCTCTCTCATATTTATATTTCTTTCTGTCCCCCCCTCCCTTTCACTCTCTCTTTAAAAAAATCAATGGAAAGATCTCCTCCAGTGAGGATTAAGAGAGAGAGAGAGAAAGAGAGAGAGAGAGAGAGAGAGAGAACATAGAGTTCCAAAGCAATTCACTAAAATCCACAATAGAGTTTGTGCCAACAGGAAAAAAAATTGAGACAGGAAGTGAAATATACAAACACTTAGCCACACAATGAGAGTATGCACTGTGTGTGTGTGTGTGTGTGTGTGTGTGTGTGTGTGTGTGTAATGGCAGAGCGGTAGTAAGGCATACATAATGGCTAAAGGCTTGGCTCCCAGAACCAGAACTGTATTTGGATCCCAGTTAAGCCATGCCTCTCTGAGTTTTCTGAATACATTATTTAACCAACACATGCCTCAGCTTTCTCATCTATAAAACGAGGGTAATAGTTCTACGTCATAATATGGTCTTAAGCATAGAGGGAGAAATCCCCAAGAAGCCATTAAACAATATCTGACAGCACAGAGTCAAGAGTTGATATTAGTGGTGGCACTTAGTGTGGCAGTCAGCTTGCCACTAAAAATATAAGAGCCCAGGCTGGCTCTCTATCAGTCTCCCTAAATGTTAAATAATAGCAGCATTCCCTCTATTGTATATGACTTTGTGTGAATATGGTGCCCCAAAGAGTCTCATGCATCCTTAGGATATATAATGAACATTTAGTGATGTGACATATAGACCAAACTATTTCAAAATTGATAAACTTTTGATATTTGTGAATTTAACATGTTAAAATTGAGAAACATGTATATTTACAAAGGTTTAGCTTATTCTATGAAAAATTGGGGGGCAGTATTTTCCATCTTTAGCTAAATAATCAATCCAAATATCTCTTATTTGAGAAGACAAAAATGACAATATATGAATGATTATAAATACCAGAGAGTAATATATTGATTCTTCATACATTATGAGTCATGCATACGTTATATGTTCTATTACCTATGTTATATACTATTGTATTTTATGATAGAAAGATAGTATCAGGATGCTTCACTCTTAAAAGCTTCACAATTTTGGTCATAACTTAGGACAGGTTTGTGCGTATCATTTTACTGCACATTTTTATGATTCTGGAAGTACTCTAGTCATTCAATTTAATAATTTATTAGCTGTTTTGCAAAAAAAATCATACAAAAGCTAACTTTTTATTCTTAGTAGTTATTTTATTTCTCATGCCTATAAATGATTGATTTTTTTTTTACATAAGACAGATTCAAAATAGTCATTTCACTTTAGCAGTTCAGGCCAAAGATTTAAAGAGAAAATATTAAAACTTTTAATTAAAATAAAAATTTGTGCCCTGGCTGGGTGGCTCAGTTGGTTTAAGTGTTGTACCATATACCAAAAGGTTGCGGGTTTAATTCTTGATCAGGGCACATACCTAGGTAGAGGGTTTTATCCTTGGTTAGGGCGCATACAGGAGTCAACCAAATGATATTTCTCTCATCCATGTTTTTCTCTCTATAATTCTCTCTCTCTTCCTCCCTCTCCCTCCCTCTCTCTCTAAAATCAATTTTAAAAAACATATCCGCTGGTGAGGATTAAAAAATAAATAAGTAAAAGTTTGTCCTTCTTCTTGAATCTAGGACATTATCATTATCCTTGATGTACTCAGCATGGAAATTAAGAAATAATTTTAATACAATTTTATGGATGTGAAATAGATACTAAAGCTCTACAGAAAATATTTTTTCTTTAAAATCATGAAGCTCTCAACTACCAAACTTTTAAATATCAAAATTCAATTTGACTCCCTTTAAGAAACTAGTAAAGATAGAATTGTCTTATAATCTCCCTAAACTCAGCACATCTTGATGTTGGTGCCTTCAATAGAACCAGCTCTGATAAGAGAGGATGGAGAGAAAACAAGTAGGAAAAGAATTACTTCTTGCTTCATTTTCCTGCCTAATTTATTTCCCTTTACATATTCATCTTACTCTAATCATTTCATTTTTGACCCTGAATTCAGAACAAAGATTGCTAACGGGTTTAGAGCCGTCTAATTTTGTCCTGACTCTTGCAATGAAAAGAAATGTTTACCTCGAAGGAAGGACACATCGTTCATTTATTTTAGATACAAATGGGTCTGCCTCCTACAAGCCACAGCCAGAATACCACTTAGAGCCAGGCTGTGGGCAGAAAGGGATCTGGAAGGGAGCCAGGGAGAACAAGAGAAGCGATCTCCTTTAGCTTTGTGACTCTAAGCAGAAACCTGAAGAAGGACCACAAGCCAAGTACATGCTTGCCGGCCAGCATATTTTAATACTTTCCTTTGACATAAAGTTTAAAATTCACTAAGTCTCGTGCCTAGAGCTAGAAGGGCATGACCAGCGGTTCTCAACCTGTGGGTCGCGACCCCTTTGGGGGTCGAACAACCCTTTCACAGGGGTCTCCTAAGACCATCCTGCATATCAGATATTTACATTACGATTCATAACAGTAGCAACATTACAGTTATGAAGTAGCAACTAAAATAATTTTATGGTTGGGTCATAACATGAGGAACTGTATTTAAAGGGCCAGAAGGTTGAGAACCACTGGTTTAGTCTAAAGAAGCCCGTGCTTGTACAGAAAAGCACAGCTGTTTGATCTGCACAAAGCTGAGGACTCACATAGCAGCTGAAAATGGCAGCCTTTGGCATTTTTTCTATATTAGCGTTTCTTTCTGTCCAGATATTTCCTCGGAGAGTAAGAGAACTCTTTTTTTTCTCCCCTGTTTCTGTCATCTTGGGAGCTAAAACCTTCAAAACGAATCTCTTCCTCTTTATAGGATCAATAAAGCAAATTAGACATGACGTTGAAAGCACTTAAATGTTTTTCAGAGTGCAGTATCATCTTATGCCTTTAAGAATTGTCAATAAATGTAAATATACAAACATATACACGGTAGCATCATATTAGGTAATATCATGAGTTTTTATCTTTCTGTTACTGACAAAATGTGACTGTAAACTTGAGTTTCAGTGTCTTTATAAGAGACTGAAGTTCCTTATAATAGTTCCAAAGTATATAAGAACAAGGTAAGAACTTTAAAGGGCAATAATTTATTATGTATTTTCTGAAGTACCTCTCAATCAAGGATTCAGTCATAAATTCAATAAAATGATATGGAGCATTTACTGTTTCCTGGAAGAATAACAGTATCATGCTATATTTCCATAATTTATCATGGACACATCAGGGAGAAGAGCCTAACCTATCAGGACATGAGTATAAACACTGAGGAAGAGTTCCTTTTAAATGGGTTGAGTATGAAGTACTCTGGGCCAAAGTAAAGAAGTCCTAAAGCAATTGAATAAAAAGGGTCTGTGCTGGAAGCCACTTTCAGCATGTCAGCAGGGCTGAATCGTATGGGAATGGTGGAGGGAGGGCATTTCCCCAAACCTGAAAAGGATGCATTAAATGATTGCTTGCTGCCAGACAGCTAAGGGCATTTCAATCTACATGTTATTTATTGCCTCCTACTGGCCAAACACCTGAACAGCCGTAGGCAATTCCCTAATCTGACAATGCTTCTGTATACAAGCCCTGGCCTTTGAAGTGTATATCTACCTCTCCTTAGGACAAATCCTATCTAATAAAAGAGAAACATGGTAATTAGCCGTACCTCCACTACCCTTCCCATTGGCTAATCAGGGTGATATGCAAATTAACTGCCAGCCAAGATGGCAGCCGGCAGCCAGGCAGCTTGAAGCGAACATGAGGCTTGTTTGCTTCAGTGACAAAGGACTCCAATGTTCCCTGCCTGCTGATGCAGGCCTCTGAGCTGCAACTCTAAGCAACTATGTAACAAATATAGAAGCTAAACAAACCCCCAGAAACCTGCTTTAGTCTGCTGGGCTTCAGCCAGCAGAATCGCAACATTGTAAGCAAAGGCCAGAAACCTACTTTCAGCAGCAGAGCCTAAGAGCTAGAGCCAAGCCTTCAAGCTAAAGC